AATTTTTTAAATAATTGAATTTCCATGAATAATTTTAGTATTAGTGAAAGTAATTGAATTATTGTGAAGAATTTTAAAAAAATTTTGTTAAATAATTGATGTTTTCGAAATTTTTTTTGAAAATGCTATTCTAAATTAATTGAATTTCCGTGGAAATTTTATTATAATTCGGAAAATAATTTTAGATGAATTTTATCAATTTTTTTTAAATAATTGAATTCTTTTGCGAAGCCCGCTTCTTTTACAATTTTATTCACTCTTTTGAATTCTAATCCTCATCTCGTAGCTTATTCGATTTTTTTGTACATAATAAATAAATTTTCTTATTTTATTTCGCACTAAAATTTTGAACCTTTAAAATATTTTTTTTTTAGTTGAGATTATCTGAGAAAAATTCTCTTTCTGACAAAATATTTTGACGAAATGACTTAGTCCTTATAAAGATTTCCCCTCTTTCGATTTCCTGGAAATTTCCCTCTTAAGCTTCCTTCTATTCCTTCTATTCCTTCTATTTCCTCTATTTCTTCTATTTCTTCTGGTTCTATTAGAAATTCCGCTTTCGAATTGGACTTTAAAATTTGTTTACTCGATTTCGAGAAGTTATTTTCCCATTTGAGAAGCATTTCTATTTCTCATTTCATTCTGTTTTTTCTAAAAGAAATTTTTTTCATTCTCAATTATTGTTTTTTCGTTTTATTCACAGAGCGAAAGTGTAAAAATTTTTTTATTTTTTAATTGAGTTTAATATCGCTATCCGGTTCAACATTGAATCTATAAAGTTTCATTTATTTACTTTTTTAACACTTAAAGTACACAGTACTTATAAAATTTAAATTAAAAAAAGTAGAAAAGTTACATTTTGCAAAAAAAAGAATTAAAATTGAAAAAAGAATTAAAATTTTACAGGGAAAGTTATCGTTTTGTCAAAAGTGTAATTCGTTTTATAACTTTCTCGGAAATCCTCAAGGGAGAAAAGTAAGCGAGGATATAGTCAAACTATTTCCTTATTCTATGTGCTCAAGTGCTTTTGTTTTTCTCTCTCTCGTGATATTGCAAAATACGAAAGAATCGGGGAAAAAGAGCGAATCATAAAAGGCTCTCATTCTTTTAAACAGATATTTCAAAAGTAAGTCGAGGCAATTTTTTTTTCTTCTTCAATTTTTCTCTTCATAAGACACATGAAATCAAAGGAAAAATTTTAATATCGTCTCCAGGGAAAATTGTTTGCATGATTACATACATATCAACATTTTTCTTGAATTAGTATATTGACTAATTCGGTAAAAAAAAAATGCAAAACTTTGAAAAATTATTCTCAAAAAATTTTAATAAAAATTATTCTCAAAAAATTTTAATAAAAATTATTCTCAAAAAATTTTAATAAAAATTATTCTCAAAAAATTTTAATAAAATTTTTTCAATAAAAAATATTAAACAAACATTTTTTTTACAGAAAATATTTCAAAGTAATTCATCAGCATACGAAGAAATCTGGTGTTTGAGTCTTTATACCCAATCAAAAGAAGAAAACATCCTTTAAGTATTCTTCTATAATTATCTTTTTTCGAGAATTCGAAATTTGGAGCACGAGAAAAGAATATCTGATTTCGGGAATTGCAGAATTGCAGAAGAACGTCGATAATAGTATTCACGCAAGAGTTTTTGGATTTAAATGAACCCCCCAATTGGTTATAATATTCTGAAACAGTAAATGCGTGAGCTTCCTCGAGAGTGTTTTGTAATTTGAGATAATAAGTTTCTGGGTGCTGCCTAGAAACCCTCGCCGACTCGTATGAGTTCCAACTACCGCGAAAGAATTTCAAACTAAAACGAACAGCCGGCTTATATACCTGCAGCGATATGGCAGCAGAAATGAATTCTCAAATAATTACCATTTTTAGAAATAAATTTTAAAAAAATTCCCCTTTAAATTCGAAAATATTAAATTAATTATAATAATTTTATTTCGATTATTAATTAATAAAATGTCACGTCGCCGTAACGTATTTTCAATAACTAATAATAATAATAATAACAACAATATGTATAATAATAATAATAATAATAATAATAATAATAATAATAATAATAATAATAATAATAATAATAATAATAATAATAAAATAATATTCAGATTTCAATGTAAATTAATACGCAAGTTTTAGTACGCAGTGTTTACTGTGTGTTTTTTTAATTTTTCCTCTCGTTAAATTTTTTACGATTATACGAGGAATATTAATAATAAGCAAAAAAAAAAAAAAGGAGTGATTCTAATTTGAATTCTTGGCAGACAAACACAAAAGGGAGACGCTTGGACGGGAATAAAGCGTCTTATTGCAAGCGAGGAGAAGTGTTTTTAATTTGCGGTTTTCTGCACTCATTAAATAATTCATGGACCCATTTGCGTATAGCTATTCTATTCTACGCGCAACTTGGAACTTAGAGAGAAGAACTTAAGTCTAGAGAGACGCAATCCAAAGAGAGAAGAGATAGGGCACTCACCTTAACTCTTCTACCGTTTCTGCTGCTTGGTACATCAGCCTCGCAGCATTGCTGCTGCATCATCTCTCTCTCACAAAGCGTGGACCCTGCGAATCAGAAAATTAAATATTTCTCATGTCAATGGCGAATTTTTATTTGCAGAATAAGATTATAATCGTTCCTTTCAGTTCAATTCTATTTATTCTGAATTTAATTTTTTAATTATCCCAATATTAACAAATATTATTATTAGTAAATTACTAAATTAGCAAATTAGAAATAATTTAGTTAGTTGGCTATAATTTACTTCATTTAGTTCATTTAATAATTAATAACCAGTCAGTGAATTTTAATCGACAAGTTTTCTCACCTGTCAAAAAGAGAGTCGAATTTTTTTACACGTCAATATTTTGACCGAGAGCAATTTAATACGAAAGGAAAAAAATTGACTTGATTAAATAGGGGCAAAAAATATTCAATCCGAGCCTAAATGTCAATTTATTTTAATCAGAATTCGAAGAATCAGGAAAAAGTTTCGTACTTTTCCGAATTCCTGAAAAAACTAACTGATGATTAATCTCGGAAATATTTTCGGTTTGTCACGAAGAAGCAATTTAAAAGACTCGAAAAAATATTGAAGATTTAAGAATACATATTCAACAAGGATTGTGCTTGTGAACGTATATTTATACTGTCCTGTGGGAAGCGTAGGCGTTTACAAGTCGTTTATATTGTGACCTTTTGAATTCCTTCTAATTTCAAATTCATCTTTGTGGATTTATGAAAATTACTTTACTCTCCCCGACGAGAAATTAATCCGAACGAAAATTGTCGAAAAGAATAAATTTAAACACTGCGCTTTTGTATTTATTTTCCTATTTTGATTTTTTTTCAGTATTTTTGTATATTTTTTCTATTTGTCAGTACCAAAGAATTTTATTTCTATTCGAATTTCGCTAATTAAAAGCAACAAATACTTATTAGCTAATTTATTATAGTCAAGAAAAAGTAAACTTATTTTCTGACGTTAGAATGTGGTCAAAATCGTCGAAATCGAAACTTCCGAATTCGGAATTGAAAAAAATTTGAGGTTAGAAATCGATTTAGAAAACAATTTTGAGGTTAGAATGAACAATGTTCGATTTTCATTTTCATTTGTCACTTGCGATGCTTGCGGTTGCAATCCTTGCAATGCAATAATAAAAATTTCCTTCGTATGGAAACTTGGTAACAATGCGGAAAAAATAATTGAAAGCGCAGAAAACGCTTTCGATTTAAAAGTCTGAATGCGGTTGAATTGTCGCCGTAAACATTCCGTATACAAGAAGACTGACCTTTGACACTTTGCAATCCTAGTTTTTTCCCTTCTCGTGAAGTTAATCCATCTTCATATTCTTCAATCTTCTATATAATACTCTAAAGTTGGCGTTTATCTCGAGAGCACTTCACTTCACTAGAAAACATGTCGCCGAGAATACCGATTCACGCGTTGCAACACAAGACTCGCGAAAAAAAAATTCTAACACACTATTTTCCTAACCTTTTAAGCACTGCACTATTTTTAACCCTATTATTATTTATCCTCTCCGAAAAAATAGGAAGAAAGCACTAAATACGGTAAAAAATAAAGAATGATAGAGTAACAAACGAATTATTTACCTATGGACTTGATTGAAAACGTGATTTTTGAAAAACTGTTCAAATTACTTTTTGGAGTAGAATTTTTTTTTGTTTATTATTTAAAAAAAAAAGACCGGACACGCGACTAAAACGATTCAACAAGCGCGCGAGGATGAAGAAATACTATTTTTCGAACGAGCAATCCAAAGAGGCAACAGGTTCGCAGGGAGAAAGGGTGAAAGATGATCGAGGACGAGGGAAGGGGGGTTCACAGTTCAGGGGCGGCGCCACTTTGGAATAATGGGGGGTTTCAAGCGCCCTCAGGTATTTTCGAAAAATGTATAGAAAATAAAAGTAATTATTATTATTTAATAATTATTAATTGATAATTAATAATTAATTTGACGAAAAAATAAAATACTTTTCTATGAAAAATTGTTTTCTATTCAATTATCATTATCACAATCATTATTATTATTGTCAACATTTTTACGGATTTTTACCAATATTTTTATTTTTCCAAAATCAGTTTCAATTCATAATTCGAAAGGAATTATGATTCATTTTTTTCAATAAAAATAAAAAAAAATTACAAATACGTTGTTTTTTTTATTTTCGAAAAAAAGGTTTTTTTTGTTTTTATTTGAAAAAATCATCTTAAAAACTAAAATTTTCGTGATAAAATTAACTTTTATAAATACGATGACTCTGTAGAAAGTAAAAAAAGGATAATAATTAAATTCCTGTGAAATCAAAATATAAATTATTTTCTAAATATATTTTTTAAATAAAAGTAAAATTATATTAATTTAAATAACATGAAGAATTAAAAACGATTCATTAATATTCTGCGAGTAACGTGGGGTTTAGAACTAAATTTCAAAAATTTACGAAAAATATTACAAAATAGAGGTTTTATTTAAATCCATTTTACAAAATTATTTATAATTAATTACATTTCATGTAATTTATTCGCCCAATCAATTAGATATTTTTGATGGTCCATTAAAGATCGTCGAACTGAAAAAATTAATATTAAATATTAATATTAAAATTAAAATTATACTTATAATTAAAATTACACTTATAATTATAATTAAAATTAAATTTAAAATTAAAATAATAATTTAACATTAACAATAAAATCAAAATTGGAAATGAAATGAGAATTCAAATTAAATTTAAAATTAGAATTAAATTAAATTGAAATTAAAATCAGAAATAAAACAAAAATTAAAATTGAAATTAAAATTAGAAGATTAAATATTAATAATACCTAGTAAATTATAATAATGAAAGTATGAAAACTTCAAATATTAATCTGAAATTATTAAATTTATCAAAAATTGTTAAACTTACAAGATGATCATCATCATCATTCATGGAAGTTTGCATGATTTCATTGAAAATTTCATCCTTCTTTTTAATTTCTTTTTCAGCTTCTATTGCTGCTTGTATCAGTTCTTCTTCGGTTTTTATATCATTTTCTTCAACTTTGACAATGGGCTCATTTTCATCTTCTTTCTTTTTAATAACCACAGGTCTGTGAAGTAAAAAGAAACGAAGAAAAACATTAGAATTATTGAAAGTAATTAAAAAAAAATAAATATTACAATTTATTAACAATATTAAATATCAAGATTAATATTATTAAAATTAAATTGAACAATTAATTAACAATATTGAATATTAATATTAATACTAACAAAATTAATTATCAAAATTGAATACATACTGTAATTAATTAACAAAATTTAATGTTATAATTAATTAACAAAATTCAATTGAATTATTAACTATCAAAATTGAATATTGCAATTAGTTAACAAAATTAAATTGAATAATTATTTATGAAAAATGAATTTTGCAATTAATTAACAAAATTGAATCTTTTAGTTAATTAACAAAACTAAATATTACGATTAACTAACAAAATTGAATTTTATAATTAATTAACAAAATTGAATTGAATAATTAATTATCAAAATTGAATTTTGTAATTAATTAACAAAATTGAATTGAATAATTATCAAAATTGAATATTAACATTAATATTACAAAAACCGAATTGAATATAATGAATGAAAATAAAAAAATAAACAATTTTACTTAGGCTTGACCCATGTTGCCAATCTTTCCAAAGCCGGCTGACTTCTTTCCAAAAGGTCTCTCGGGGTGGAAACCAAATCAATCAAATATTGATCCATACTCAGTGGTGGATCTCGATTTAGTGCACGATTAGACAAATGATCCCATTTAGTTTGCTTAAAGGGATTGCAAAAACTTCCTGGCCGAAAACGCTCATCATCTTCGCTGAATAGAAAAAAATAAGACATTATTTTCTTGCGAGGACTATAAAGAATTTTTGTTTTCTTTAATACTGAAATACCTACGAGATTGTCATTGCATCAATATAATTATCAATGTCTTGCTTCTGCTCCTCATTCAGTGAATTTACTTCCTCTCTCGGTTTTAAAACACGTCGCTCTTCAATGAACGGAAGTCCAATGTGCACCAGGCACTGAAATTAATATGAAAAGAAATTAAATTTATACATTTTACTCTTTTTCCTCTTCAATCGTTTCTTTAATATTTTTTCTCTAAACAAAAATAAATAAAACAATTTTTTCCTGGCTTTTAGTTAGAAAAATACTAAAATATTAAATAAAAAATTTATTGTAAAAATTAATTCTTACCGCAATTTCACCTTTCTCGAAGCGTGGAAATAAAATACCCATTTTAGGTTGACTGTTGGTTTGATAAACTTTTCTCACAATTGCAACCAAACCTAATTTTTTCATGTTAATTAATAAAGAATAGAATTTTTCCTTCGCTTGAGAATTCTAAGAGAGAAAAATATATAATTTATTAATGAAAATAATATAAAATAAGTAAATTAAGACTTAAATCATAATTAATACTTAAATTATTTATAGAAAAACGAACAAATTTATAGAAAAACATACACATTCCGGAACAATAATATGCACTCCTTTCGCAAACCAATGTTCCAATGACACTTCTTCTATCTTCACAAATCCACGAACAGTTAAAGATTTTACCGTTCCCGTGAGTTTTGCCCTTTCTCTATCGTTATCTGTATAAAGAAAATTGAAATTAATACAAACGATTTTTTTAAATTTAATTTTCGATCTAATGAAGAAAAAAATTTAATTTATTTTATTTTTAATTTAAAAAAATTAATTAATCTTATTTTTAATTCAAATAAATAAATTAATTTTATTTTTAATGCAAATAAATTAATTTTATTTTTAATCCAAATAAATTATTTAATTTTTTAGTTTTAATTCAAATAAATAAATTTTTTTCGTTAGTTTCAAAGTGAAAAAAAATTAAATTAATTTATTTATTTTTTCTTTTTTCGTTGCATATTTGCGAAATTATTTTAATTTGCGACAGACCTGTGAGAGGAACGAATTGTCCACCATATTTATAGCCTTTATTGGTGTTTGCTTCGTCAACAACATTTCTGTGACGATCCACGAGTTCTCTGGTGCGCTTAACACCGGCATCGGTCTCTGGAGGAAATCCAACAGAATCACTTCGAGTCGTTAGTTTCCAACTGGGAAAAGGAGCAGGCTCTGTAACCTTCAAAGATTTAATTATTAAACATATAAAACTGTAAAGTAATTAATAATTCAATAAAATTAATAAATCTAAATTCAAATTAATAAAAGTGTTAACTAATTTGGCTTCTTACTTTTGAATCAGTAAATTTTACTAATAAGTTAGTAGAAATAACTATTTATTTAGTTAAATTTTACTAATTAGCAGAAATACTATTTATTAGTCAAAACGAATTCAAAAGCAAAAAGTTTAAATTAATTTATTTCTACTTTTCAATTAAATTTGGTATTTCTATTTTGAATTAATCAATTCTAGAAAGTAATTTTTCAATTACTCTCTAAATTTAAATTATTTATAAATAATCAAAATTCTTTTAGACCTAGGAACTTTAATCAAAGTTCTTTTAGCCCTAGGAACTTTAATTATTATAAATAAATAATTTAAATTTAGAGAATAATTGAAAAATAGAATTGATTGAAAAATAGAAATACCAAATTTAATAGAAATATAAAGTAACCAAATTAAATTGAAAAATAAAAGTACCGAATTTAATTAAAAAGGATTAAAGGAATAAATAAATTGATAGAAATTACCTTCACGTAGGATTGTATGGGAATTAAAATACTTCCAATTTTCATGAAACTCTCCCAAGGAGTAGGTTTCACCGGTGGATTCTTATAGAATCGAGTCACCAGCAGATAATTGTCAATTTGATCATAAGCGCAGGAAGTACCACCAGGAGTCATTCTTTCGACATCACGGTAAACTCTCACTGCAAGTTGTTCACTTAAATTTAAATCTTCCCTGTTTCTTCCAAATAAATCCTCGTTGCTTCTGAAAATTAAATTCAATTTCAATAACACTTCAATTTATTGTTTACAAAACAATAAACCTTTGTATTAATTAGAATTATTCTTTTTTCAATTTTGAATTCTGTTTCTAAAATTGTATTTCTTAAATAATTATGTTTCTAAAATAATTTCGCCCCTAAATACATCCCTAAATGTCCCTAAATAAATTTCATTCATTTCATCGCATACGGAAATTATTTTATAAACATAATTAAGAAATAAAATTTTAGAAACAGAATTCAAAATTGAAAAAAGAAGAAAATTTATTTCCTTTCAATTTTTTATCGCAACATTATTGCGTTGAAATGAAAATTATAATTTCGATTTTGCTTGGCAAAAGATTCGATCCCTTTTTTTTTAGTTGAGAAAAAACTTACATGAACATTAACTTGACATGTGAGCTGAAAATTTCGCTGGCAACATCTTTTGCATTAAATTGTTGAATTACATCTTGGCTTTCTTTGAAGTTGTTAATGACAATGACTTTAACATCTTCGAAATCACTGTAAAAAGATTTTTTTTTATTAGTAAACTTAAATATATTAATAACGTGTGTGGCGAAAATAATTTTTATTCAACGTACGTGCACTTAAACTGAGCAAATCGAAGGGCAACGTGTAATCCTTCAACCCAATTTGAAGTATGTTCCGTTGCTCTTAGATCGAGAACTCGCTCGACCATTTCCCAGTCTGGAACTTGCAATCCAGATTCAAATTGAAAAATATTATCAATATTTTCATCATTGTCGGTTTCATTCGAGCCGAACAATATTATATTGACAGCGTCTTTTTTTCGAAGAAATATCTGGAAAAAAAATTATTATTAGAAATAATTTTTAGTATTTTTGAAACAAAATTCTCGTCGAAATTTCAAATATCTTTATAAACAATAAAATTGTTTGAAAAGGTTTTAAATTAAAATCTTTAGAAAATTTTAATTTTCCCGACTTTTAACTAGAAATTCTGCAGAATTAATTTTTTGAAAAAGTTTAATTGAATGTTTTTGGAAATTATTTGAAGGTTTTATTTTTTACAATACATTTAATTGAAGAATTTCCGAATAATCGAAATTTTTGGTAAAATTAAATATTGTAAACAAATTAATTTGAAAATTCTCAAAGAACTTTTTCGAAAATTATTAAAAATAATTGATTAAAAAAAAATTTTAGTTAAAAATTCTGGAAAATAATAATTATATTAAAATAATTTTAATGAAGTTATTGTAACTTACTTTTCGCTCTAAAATTTGCCGAATGACTGTTTTGGCTTTGTCCAAAAATGACTGATTTTCATTGTCGAGAATTTCGGCAGTTTCACGTCCAACGTTGACAAGAAATATCACTGCCTCCTGCATGAATATAAAGAGAAATAAACATCGACGAAACTTTAATAGAATGAATAAAATTAATTAAAATATATGCAAAAAAAAATAGAGGTTACCGCAGCATTCCTTTTTGGTGGCATTGTTGTATTAGTTCCAAACCTTTTGTTTTCGTTGACAATAACAATACTTTGACAATTTCTCTCAAGACTTTCAATTCTCCTCTTCCTTCCACTTATTAATTATTAATTGTTCACTTTTTTTGTAACAAATAAACGCCGTAGTAGATTCCGGTATATTCACAACAATTGCACTGCGAAGTTCGCACCTAACCTAACATAACCTTATTTACCTGAGTCACCTGAGTGCTAAATTGAATCTCTAAATCTAAAAATCCGATTGTATTGAAACCCAAAAAATGTTAACAAATATTTAAAAATTAAACCCCAATGGATGGAATTTAATTAAAGCAAAAGTGAGAGAAACGAAAAAAAAGAAACTTGTTTTGTATTTCAGTTCAAATTTCTACCGCGTGATGGACTCGAAGCGTCCGCCATATTGAAAAATTCATGGGTGGTGTTTTTGTCCTCTCAAGAACTGTCAAAAAGATAATTTCAATCAGAAATGTCATTTTTTAATAGATAATACTTTATTTTAATGGGCCACTGAAAGCCAAGTGTTATGTCTGATAAACTGCGTAAAGGTACGAAACTTGCCAATAAAGATTTCGAAAAATTATTATTGAAAGGAAACTTTTGATAATTCTCCGAACAAAAAATTACTCACTCCAAAAATTTGATAATTTTCATAGTAGGATTAATTTTACTTAGACAATTAAAATTTACATTTGCAATGGCGTGTCTTCTTTTAAATCAAGATGACATGCATATTAAAATTCCTCTAAGCGAAACTGTTGACAGCGTTACTTTTTATACAATTGAGGTTAGAATTGCCTCTATTCAATGGACCGTAAAACACAGGTATTTATTTTTATATTATTGTTTTATTATTCTGATTATAAATATAATAAAAGGAAAATATATTACTTATTTTTTCTTTTTTTTCTTTCTTGCAAAAAATACAGATTATTTGCATATTTGTTTTCAAATTTGTAGAATAAAAAAGTAAAATGCAATCGAATAATAATAATACGAATAAAAATTGTACTTACTTAAAATAACGAATTCGTTAAAACAATGAAATTCTCATTTTTTAGATACAGTGAATTTTCGGAATTAAATGAAATTCTAGTGTCGGAACATTGTGTGGAGAAGGACATTCTACCGCCAAAGAAACTCATTGGAAATAAGAACGAAGTCTTTGTTGAGAAACGTAGACTCGGCTTGGAAATTTATTTAAATGCGGTTTATAATTATTTGAAGAAAGCAATGCCACGGGAATTGGCTCTTTTTCTCGATTTACATGTCTATGATATTTTCTTTTTACTGCAAAATATGGCGCTTCAATTCTTTACCGAAGGAGATGTTTTGCTCCAATCTTCCAAAAGTTATACTTTTAATCCCGTACAGGTAAATTAATTGTAAAACAAGATAATTTTAGAAAATTTCAATTATTTGTTTATTAAGATTCAATTAAATTTGGAAAATGTCAATTACTTGTTTAAAAAATTCAATTATCTTTAGAAAATTTCAATTTTTGTCTAAAAAATTCAACTGTTTTTAAAAAATTTCAATTACTTGTTTAAAAATTATAAATTATCTTCAGAAAATTTCAATTTTTGTCTAAAAAATTCAACTGTTTTTAAAAAATTTCAATTACTTGTTTAAAAATTAAATTATCTTCAGAAAATTTCAATTACTTGTTTAAAAATTCAATTATCATTAGAAAATTTCAAGTCCTTGTATAAAAATTCATTTAGCTTCAGAAAATTTCAATTTTTGCCTAAAAAATTCAACTGTTTTTAAAAAATTTCAATTACTTGTTTAAAAATTAAATTATCTTCAGAAAATTTCAATTTTTGTCTAAAAAATTCAATTACTTGTTTAAAAATTCAATTATCTTTAGAATATTTCAATTTTTGTCTAAAAAATTCGCCTGTTTTTTTAAAAAGTTTCGATTACTTATTTAAAAATTCAATTATCTTTAGAAGATTTGAATTTTTGTCTAAAAAATTCAACTGTTTTTAAAAATTCCAATTACTTGTTTAAAAATTTAATTATCTTCAGAAAATTTCAATTACTTGTTTAAAAATTCAATTATCATTAGAAAATTTCAAGTCTTTGTATAAAAATTCATTTATCTTCAGAAAATTTCAATTTTTGCCTAAAAAATTCAAATTTTTAAAGAAAATTTCAATTACTTGTTTAAAAATTCAATTATCTTTAGAATATTTAAATATTTGCCTAAAAAATTCAAATTCTTTTTTTAAAATTTCAATCACTTGTTTAAAAATTCAATTATTTTTAGAATATTTCAATTACTCATTTAAAATTTCAATTATCTTCAGAAAATTTTTTGTTTAAAAATTCAATTATCTAAAAATTGAAATTTTTTGTTTTAAAACTCAATTATCATTAGAAAATTACAATTCCTTTTTTAAAAATTCAATTGTCTTTAAATATTTCAATTTTTTGTTTAAAAAATTCAATTATCTTTAAAAAATAAAAGTGAAACATTTTAAAAACCTAATTTAATTTAATTCAAAATTTTATTAATAAAATTCTTTAAAAATTTCGATTAATTTTATAATAAAATTTTAGAAAATTTCAATTACTTTTTATGCAAATTCAATTATATTGAAAAAAATCTAATCTACAAAACATAAATTTATTCAAATCTTTCGATAGTTTTGAATATGTTTTACATGTTTTATAAGATAATTATTCGAAATATTTAATTAAAAAGATTAAAATAATTGAATTTTTTGTAAAATTTTATTAAAAATAATTGATTTCTTTTTGTAGTTCATTAAAATTTTAAAAAAATAAAATTTAGGAGAATAATAATAGTAAATTTTCAAAATAATTAAATTCTCAAACATTTTATTGAAAAATCTTCAAATAAACCTTTGAATTTAAAAATTACAAAATTCTAATTAAATTTGTGTTTTAAAATTAAGAAAATTAAAATTGAATTAAAGTATTCAAAGTTCAAATTAAAATTGAATTTAAAAAATTCAAAGTTCGAATTAAAATTCAAATTAAAATTGAATTAAAAATTTTTAATTAAATTTGAATTTAAATGTATAATGAAAGAAAATAATAAAATTCACAAAATTTTATTAAACTATTTTCTAAAAATGTAATTTTTCTAATATAATTTGATTAAAAAATTTTTTTAATTCAATTACAAAGTCTACTTTTTTAGATTTGTTAATAAAATTTTGGAGAAATCATTCGTTTTCCTTTTTTTTAAATTAAAACCAAATTGAATTTTCTTACAAATCAATTTATTATTTTTAATAATTTCGGTTACATATTTTTCATAATTTTTACATTAATAACTTTTGAAAAAGAATCATGAATATTATTATTTTTTAAATAATTAATTATTAATTTAAATAACAATTTTTTATTTAAATAATTGAATCTTCAAGAACTTTTAGAAAATTATTTAAAAATAATTTAATTTATAAAGAAGAAGTGCAGTTTTTTTATTTATTAAGAATTTAAAAAAAACTAGAAATTAATTTTTTGGAAGAGTTACAGTTCGATTATTTTGATATTTTTTATTCTTAAAATTAATCGAAGACCTGTTATTTAGAATTATATAAAAATTTATAAGGAAAAAAATAGTTAAATATTATTTGAAAATTGTTTTTTATATTTTATAGTTGAGAAAAAATTACGTTTTCTTACTATTTATCAATTTTCGTTTGTTTACAGCTTTATGCAATCAGTGAAAGATTAAAACATCCCTGTCCGTCTCTAGAAGTAGTCGACAAAAAATACGACTTCAGTCACGTTTTGGAATTGAATTCTCACTTGACAACGTTAACGATACAAGGAAGTTGGTCGTATTACGGAACAAGTAACATCGTCCCCTCAGCATTGAAAGTAGAACTCTCGAATTTCAAGAACGTCGAACACTTGACAATCACTAATTTCCCCGTGGAAAAAATCTACAACATGGGAACACTTCGCGACACTGTAAAAGTACTCAACATTCACAATACAGAATTGAAAAATATCGTCGAACTCGCAATGTGCGAGGAAGTTCACAAGCACATTACCAGTGCAAACGATTCGCACGTTTGGTTGAAAGTCACGCATTTGGATTTAAGCAACAATCACATTGAAATAATTGACGAGGCAATCAAACTAATGCCACACATTGAATTTCTCACTCTAAACAATAATAAACTCTCGGAAATTTCCAATGTCACGCTCCTACCACGACTATCGCAATTATCCCTGAGCTTGAATAATTTTCACTCCCTCCCCGAGGATCTTCACATAAAACTCGGTAAAATTGTTCAATTGGACCTGTCGCAAAATCATTTGACGTCGCTTGCGAGTTTCGCGAAACTTTATTGCCTCGAGGGTTTGGACGTGAGTTGCAATAGAATTGAGAATATCGAGGAGGTGAAATTTATCGGTAATCTTCCTTGTTTGGAGAATTTGCGACTCACTGGAAATCCAGTGTCGACAATTGTCGATTATAGAGTGAAGGTTCTCGAACCTTTTGGCAGGCGAGCCGCTGACATTTGCCTCGACAATGAGAAACCAAATCAAAAGGAACTCGACACTGTTTCTGTTTTACAGGCACTTCGAATCGCTCGCGAAGGGAAATCACCAATTTTTCCCGGCACTGACGCTCCATTATTTTCTGCCGAAATTCCGACTATTTGAGATTCGACCAATGACGAACGAGGCGGAATTTTGTGATTTTTTCCCCAGTGTCGATTTTCGAGAATTTTGCGATTTTCACCGTCTTCCAAAATTTTTGAACCAGAAAATCATAATCGTGAACAAATCAATTCTTTTCCATCAGAGAGAAGTTAGTTAATTTTATGAATTTCAATTAATTGTTTAGCAAATAAATTAAAAAATTAATAAATTAGAAAATTAATTAATTGATTAATAAATAAATTAAGCAATTAATCAATTAACTAATAAATTAGAAAATTAATTAATTGATTAATAAATAAATTAAAAAATTAATCAATTAACCAATAAATAAGAAAATTAATTAATTGATTAATAAATAAATTAAACAATTAATCAATTAACTAATAAATAAAATAATTAATTGATATATTAATTTACTTATGAATCAATTAATTAATTGTTCAATTTATTTATTAGTCAACTGATTAATTAAGTAATTGTTTAATTTATTTATTAGTCAACTGATTAATTAATTAATTGTTTAATTTATTTATTAGTCAATTGATTAATAAATTAGGTAATCAATAAATTAGTCAATTAATTGAATTAATATTTTAAAGCATTTTTTAGCAATTCAAAAAAATGTAAATAAATTGTACATAAGTCACTTATTCAGTTTTGGGTTTTTAGGAATAATAATTATTGCAAGAAAGAAAAAAATAATCAAATATATTTTTTAAATAATCAAATAAAATTACCCAAGACTGATGTTATTTTTTATTTTCAAAATATGGAACAGAGTTTTGAGATCTGTTTGTTAATTGAGAGAAATTAACATATTTTTTAAATATTATATCGTCTAAAACATAATTATATTTATTGAGAAAAACTAACAAAAGAAAAAAAAATAGGGATATTAAATTTTTACGTAATGTTAAATTTTATCGACACGAATTTTCATATATTTTATAACTTTTTTTTTTGCTTTTCAAGTGTTGAAGTATTATTTTTTTACTTAAAAAAATTCGTTGTCAGTTTTTATCTGTGTACAAAATTATGACAATTTTAGTAACAATATTGTAAATAAGATATTTTAATAAAAACATCATTATTAATCTGTGATAAAAGGAAACTTTTGAATTTAATTATTATTATCTTCTGAATTAAATTTTTGAATTTAATTTACGTCTACACTTTGAATGTTATTTTTTTTAATTTAATTTTTTTATAGTTCTCTTCAAAACCACGAAAATTTGTCACAAATTTTAATAAAATTCTCCAAAGTATTTAAAATAAACAATTCAAATATTTAAATCCATAAAATTTTCAAGAAAATTTACAATTTTTTGAACAATTTTTTAATTCATTACTTTATAAAATTCGATTACTTTTAAAAAAATTTTTAAAAAAATTTTTTTCCGAAAAGATTAATTTTATTTTACGAAATTTGAATTAATTTAAAAAATTTGTCATAGTATTTTTAAGAATTCAATTAATTTCAAAAAATTTTCAATTAAAATTTTTTACTAAAACTTTTCCAAAATTTTAAAATTTCAATTATTCGAATAAAAAGATAATTCACTTAAAACACGTTAAAAATTTAATTTCTTTTGAATTTAATTCTACAAAATTTCAATTATATTTTTAAAAAATCCATTAATTTCAAAAAAATGTAAATTCCAATTTTTCAAAAAGAACTTTGTTCATTATTTGAAATATTATTTGTTTCTAAAATTTTTTACTACAATTTTTTCAAAATCTAATTATTTTACAGAATTTTTAAATAAAATTCTTTTTTTTAAATTAATTATTTTCAGTAATTTTGAAAATTCAATTAATAAAAAAGAGAAAAATTATTTAAAATACGTTTGAAATTAAATTGTTTGCAGTTCAATTTTACAAAATTTCGATTATTCGAACTTTGAAATTGTATTGGTTCTAAATATTTTTTTCCTTAATTAATTATTTTCGATTATTTTTAGAAAATTCTTTGAGAATTCAATTATTTAAAGACAAAAAATTCAAGTTCTTATAATAATTATAATTGTGACTCTTCTCGATTTTTTTTAAATTTATTAAAATGAATTGTTGAAAATATGCCACCGAAACTATTGAAAATAATTGATTTTTAAATATTAAAAGTAAAACAATTCTTATAATTACATTTCTAAAAATATTTTGTAATAATTTTTGAAAAATAATAGATATTTAATTATATCTCATTTAAAAATTTCGAAATAATTCGAATTCATCAGTAAAATTTTTCAATATTAATATTGAATTTCGAAAAGAATTTGTTATTTCACTGTGGTTTTATTTTTAATTTTTTAAATTATTAAAATTAATCAATTTCTTATTAATTAAATTATGTTTTTTAAATAAATAAATAAATTATTAGTTTAAGTAAAATTTTTTTGAATAAATTTAGTTTAAATATAATTAGTCTCAATAAAATTAGTAAATAAAATTAGTTTCAATTTTAGTACAAAAATAGGAATTTTAGCAACGAAAATAATGAGAAAACTATCATTTTAAAATCCAATTTTATTTATCTCCATTTTCATTAAATATTACGTTCTTTCGAAAGTATTAAAATATTCATAAATAATATTAATTATATAATGCTTACATACGCTATGCTTTCGAAGGTTTGTTTTTTTTATCAATTCTATAATATATTCATTCTCGAAAGAAAAATATTATAATTTACATTTTCCTCACAAACGTTCGAAAAATCGTGTTTCAATATTTTTTCTCTTCCGCAATAATTTTTAATTGGTCAAATATAATTTATTTTTCCCCAAAAAGCAGCAAACTTATTATATCTTTCACTGAAAATCTGTTCCTCGTAAAAAGTACAGAATTACAGTAAAATTTTCGCAAAGAATTTCTGTTTTTTTTTTGTTTAACAAAAATAAATCCTTCCTTCGCGTTCGTAACTTCGTGTATATAAAAAAAGTCTTCGTTGTTACAAATATATAGGCATCGTCGTCGATTTATTTGCGAAAAAAACGCGAGAAAAGAATTTTAATTAACAAAATTATTTTTACTTGGATTTTTTCGGAAAAATAAAATTCAGCGAAGAGGGGAAAGAAACGAAGATAAAGTACAATATTTTTTTTCTCTAAATGACAATAATAATTATTTTTTTTCAAAAAAGAAAATAGATTTTAGGGAAAATATTTTTGTTTTTCCGTCGAAAATAGTGTTTTTTTGAAAAACGTTGTTTTTTCCGCAACGAAAATAATTTTCACAAAAGTTTTTATTTTTTTTTGTGCCGAAAATATTTTTGAAAACAATTTTTTTTTTTTGGAGAAGAATTGAAAAAAAACGTCGAGGAGGAAAAGGGACTCGAAGTAGGGGTGGGGGGAAACCAAAAAATTATGACTTAACAATCATTTATGGGCGTATGTTTTTTTTTAATAATTTACTGGTGCGCAATTGGGATGAGTTTCTCTCCCTGGCCGATTGCTGGCAAAGGTGCTTCAACGGTGAGAACGCCATCCTTGCTCAATGAGGATTTAATGCTCTCCGGATTGGTTCCTTTTGGAAGAAGGAATTCTCTGTTGTATTCTCTGTAGACTGATTTAGTTTCAGATTTCTCCTCATGCTTGGCGTGCACCTAAAAAAGAAAAAAGCGAATTAGAATTTTTATTCTTTATTATTTTTTATTTTCAATGCAGTAAAAAAACTTTCGTTAAAAAAATTATTTTTCCAAACAAATTTACGAATTTAACAATAATTATTTATTGAATTTCTTTTTTCCTTTCTTGAAATATTTGACAGAATTTTTTTAATCAATTCCTAAAATCCTAAAATCGAAGAAAGAATTTATTAGATAATTTGATTTTTTTTTTTGTATTATTTCTATTATTAATTTTATTTTTTGTTAGTTTAATAAACATTTTTATTCATTGTCCGAATGTTTTCGTTTTATTTTCCTTATTTTTTTGGTATTATTTCTATTATTTTACATTATTATTAATATTATTAATATTATTATTTTCATTATTAATGTTAAAAAAAAAAATTTTTTAAATAATAATTTTCATTTTTATATTTTTAAATATTTTTTTATTTTATTATTCATCGTTTTTCATATCAAGATGAACTGCATGAATGAAATCAGTAAAAATTGAAAAGTCAAGAATTCTGGATCAAGTTTTTTGCTTGACCAGCGAAAATCGATCGCGTCCCGCTTGACGCACTCCTTTCGTGACCTTTGCCAGAAATAAATTCAAAATCATAAATTAAATGGAAAATAAAATAAAAAATAAGTAGGTAAATAAAATAAATTTCGAAATGTAATAAATAAAATTAATTTAAATTAATAATAATATTAATATTAATAATATTAATTAATAATTAATTAATATTCTTTTTTTTTGTATTTTCAGCCGCAGAAATTGTGAAGTGATTGTAAACAAAATTTTATTTTATTATTCAATTTATTGTAAACAATTTTTTTTTTATTTAAAAAAAAATTTAGAAAAAATTTTTTTTCTTTAAAAAAATTCAGAAAAAAATCTTAAATTTTTTTTTCTGAATTGCATTATATGGAGGTTGGAGATTAATCGAGGTGGGTGGAAATTATCCCGACAATCGTGACTCAGTTTGAATTTTATTCATGAAACAAGAGTCATGAAAATAAATAAACCCAAAGAGCTAAAAGAAGAAAAGAATCGATTTGTAAGTCTGCAATGTCTGACTCAACTGAAAAATATAAAGCGTCTGACCATGCGTAGGACTTTTCTATTTAATATGTATAAATAGAGTAGGTCAGTAATTTTGAACTAATGCGGAATTTTTCCTCGAAGAAAATTCGAAACTCTTAAAATAATTATAGGAAGTAAAAAATTTACTTTTCGATATCTCAATTTTGAGAATTCTATTTTTTTCTATTTTTTTTTCTAATTAAAAACAAGAAAACTATAAAATAGAAAAAATAAAAACGAGAAAACGAAAAAATAAAAACAAAAACTAATAAAAAAGAAACAAAACTAAAAAAATATTAAAAAGAAAAAGAACTGAAAAATAAAAACAAGAAAATTAAAAATTAGAAAAAATAAAACCAAAAAAAAAACTAAGAAGTAAAAATAAGACTAAAAATTGAAAACAAGAAAACTGAAAATGGAAAAATTAAAATTAAAATTAAAATTAAAATTAAAATAAAATCTGAAAAATAAAAATAAGTCTAAAAAATACAAACAAGTCTAAAAAATAGAAAAAATAAAAATAAATGAACGATAAAAATTGTACCAAATATAAATTAAATTTTGGAAAAAATAGAATTACAAAATAAAGAAATTTGTGAAGACTAACAAATTTTTGTCGGAAGCTTATCAACAGAAAAAATTAACGTGACAATATTTGAATGTTGAATTGCAACATCGTGTGTTTAAACAGCCGCTCATAAATATTGTAAGAAAAAAAAAGAAAAAACAAACAAAAAAAGTGGATTTCGTGACAGGTTTAAAGAGACTCGATTTTACATCTAAACGAGAAGCAATATTTACGATTTGTAAATTATATTTTAAACAATTCTCAAAACATTATTTTTATCATAGAAAAGAAACTTATTTCGAAAGTTATATCTTGCACATCTTTTGTAAAACATTTATTTCACAATTGTTTTATTTCTATTTTTCTTATTACTTCCTTTTTTTTACTTTATTATTATTTATTTTTTTATTTCATTATTTTTTCCGTCATTTTAATAATAAATTAATAAAAGGATGTAAAAAAAGTAAAATAAAAAAATAGTTAAGTAAAATAAAAGCAGTAAAGGAGTATAATAATAAATAATAATAATAAATAATTTAGTAAAAAATAAGAAAGTTAGTAAACAAAGTAAGTAAACAAAAGTAGTAAAAAAGAAGAAAAATAATGAAGTAAAAAAATTATAAAGCAAAAAAAGGAAGTAAAATAAAAAAATATTGAGGTAAAAAAGTAGTAAAGGAAAAAAATACTAAAGTAAACAAAAATAGTAAATAAAATACCAAAAAAATAAAGTAAAAAACTAAAGGAAAAAATAATAAAACAAAAAAATTATATAAGTAAAAAATAATGAAACAAAAAAAGAGAAAAAATTCCGTAAAAAGCAAAGTGAGACAATATTGACAAAAGTTTGTGTTCCCGGCGCCACGATTGACATAATTTCCGTTTCCCTCCTTCATTTTCCACCCTTCAATAAACCAGACGGAAAATAACGTTGTTATTTCTTCCTTGCGTCCTACTTTAAGGATAGTAAATATTCTCGCATTTTATCATTTACACATTGACCCACTTTCTAAAGACCCTCGACCTCTCAACGACTTGTAAAATTAAATCATTTTTCTTTTATCTACTGTCACTCACGAAAATCCGGGTCAAAAGCAGTCATTTTCTTCCCGCTAAATTAATATTCAATTTTAATTATTATTTAATTGAATATTTAATTTTTTAATTTTTATTTATTTACAAAGAAATTATTTTTTTCGAAAATTAAGACTAAATTAGCATTTTCCCCTTTTTTGAGATTATAGAAAATTTGTGGGAATTTAGATGATTTACTATATAGTTATGTGTTTGAATGAAAAACATGTGGGGAAAAAAATGTAATACGGTCTTGGTCTGACGTTTTAGCACTTTCTGAAGAATTACTGCGAGAGTCTAAAGTAAATATTTTTACAAGAGCAGTCAGGTAAAATATTACCGCTAATATTAACATTCTTCTTTTTTTTTAAATATAGTGAATCGCGCCTTGTAAGCATAATGTGTATAAACGACTGGCTGTTCAGTCATCAACGTATTTAGAAACGGAACCTCGACCACTGGCTTTCAACCTTGACGGCTCTCTCATTGGTCACAAGAGTGTAGGCGACTGACTTTTTGACAGTTGAAAATTTTTTTTTCTATTGTGAACTTTCTTCTTTTACTGCTACTTTTGCAAAATTTTTTTCTCTTCTATTTTCTCTTATTTAATTTTATTGTTTCTTTGACAATTATTTACTGTTTTTTCATTGTTAATTCAATTATATTTTTTTATTTACTTTATTTATTTCATATATTTATTTATTGATTATTATTGTCTGACTTTTTCCTAATTTTCATAAAAATTATTTATCCTACTAATGACTTGAATTAAAAATTTTTGCAAAATTCAATTATTATTTTCTAAATTTTTAATTTCAAATTCTCAAAAATTAAATACAAATTACATAATTCATTAAATAATTTAATATTTCTTAACATTGATTAATTTAAACCCTGCAATGAGTTTTGTTATATTTAAAAAAAATTGAATTCTTGCAATAAATTTTATTAAAATTTTTGAAAAATAATTGAATTCCTGAGAGCAATTTTATAATTTATGAAAATAATTGAATTTTTGAGAAGAATTTTATTAAAATTTTAAAAATAATTGAATTTATGGGAAGAATTTTATAGAAGTTATATGAAAATTGTTAATAATTGAATTCTTTTGATGAATTATATTAAAATTTTGGAAAATAATTGAATTTTTGCAAACGAAATTTAGTATTAATTAAAGTAATCGAATTTTTGACAAGAATTATATCAAAATTTATTCAATTAATTGAATTTTGATGAAAGTTTTACAAGAATTGTAAATAATTGAATTCTTTTGAAGGAATATATTAAAATTTTCGAAAATAATTGAATGTTTGCAAACGAAATTTAGTGTTAATTAAAATAATAGAATTTTCGTGAAGAATTTTATTAAAATTTTTAAAATAATTGAATTCCTGAGAATAATTTTCTTATTTATGAAAATAATTAAATTCCTGAGAAGAATTTTCTTATTTATGAAAATAATTGAATTCTTGCAATAAATTTTATTTAAATTTTGAAAAATAATTGAATTTTTGAGAATAATTTTATCAAAATTTATTCAAATAATTCAATTACCATTGAAAACTCAATTTTTTTCTGAAAATTATTGAATTTTTGCGAAAAATTTTCTTAAAAATATTTTTGAAAATAATTGAATATTTCTGAGATGAATTTTGATGAAAATTTTCTTGAAAATTGTAAATAATTGAATTCTTTTGGAAGAAATATATTAAAATTTTCAAAAATAATTGAATTTTTGGAAGAATTTTATTAAAATTTTAAAAATAATTAAATTCATGATATGGATTTTATTATTTATGAAAATAATTGAATTTTTACATAGAACAAATTCTATTTAAATTTTGGAAAATAATTGAATTCCTGAGAACAATTTTATAAATTATGAAAATAATTGAATTTTTGAGAAAAATTTTCTTAAAAATATTTTTAAAAATATGTAATTGAATTTCTGCGAAGAATTTTGATGAAAGTTTTATGAAAATTGTAAAGAATTGAATTCTTTTGAAGAATTATATTAAAATTTTCGAAAATATTTAAATTTTTACGAAGAATTTTTATTATTGTTAGAATTATTATTTTTTTTTTATTTTTATTATTTGCAAATTGCAATTAGAATTATTTATTATTATTTCACAAAATTTTAATAAAATAATAATATTGAAGAGTAGATATCTTGTTTAAAATAATATTACCATTAGAGGTTTTTTTGAACGTAATAAGTGTCATTAGTAACTTAATTTTAAAAATAGTAAAAATAATCAAAAATAG